AACATTTAGTGTTTTGGCCTCAACTGTTTTCTGAGGCAGAGAATTCCAAATGACTCCCCACTCTGAGGGTGAAGAAATTTCTCCCTATCTCAGTCATAAATGGCCTACCACATATCCATAAATTGTGATGCCTGGTTCTGGATGCCCCATTATCAGTAACATCTTTCCAGCATTTATTCTGTCTAATCTGGTTAGAATTTTATACCTTTCTATGAGATCACTCTCCTTCTTCTAAACTCCTGTGAATATAATCCTTACTGATCCAGTTTCTTGTCATATGTCAGTCATGCTGTTCAGGAATCTGTCTAGTCAACCTTTGTTGTACTCCCTCTATAGCCAGAACATCCTTACATAAGTAAGAAGCCTAAAACTACACACAGTTGTCCAGGTGTGGTCTCACCTTGTACAATTGTAGCAAGGTATCCCAGCTCCTGCACTTGAATCCTCTTCCTATGAAGCCCAACATACTACCTTCACCACCTACTGCACAGTTAAGCATTAGGTTTTCAGTTTAGGTCAGGAATTGTTTTTCTTTTTTGATTAGGAGAAACACCTATAACTTGGAAAACTGTTGGATTCCAGGTGGGATGTGCAAAACTGTTAGCTAAGTCTTGTAAGCTAGTTGCCCTTGACAGAGGAAGGTAGTTTAGATTTGCTAAGAAATCTAGCACAAAGGAAGGTAGTTGTGATTGTTGGAGATCACTCATCTCAGACCTGAGATATCACAGCAGGAGTTCCTCAGGATAATAATATTCGAATCATGATCATCTTCAACTGCTTCTTCAATGACTCTCCCTCCATCATAAGTTGATCTGGTGATCTGCAATCATGAAACAATGTTCAGCACCATTTGTGACTCCTTTGAAACATTCAGTGTCCATATGCAGCAAGACCTGATTTGGGCTGATAAGTGGTCAGCAATAATCACACCATGTAAGTGCCAGGCAATGACCATTTCCAACAAGAGAGAATGTAATCATCACCCCTTGTAAGGAAGGCTGTTCTAGGATGTTGACCCAGTGACAGAGAACAGCTATATAGTTTGAAGTCAAGATACAATGTGGCTTGGAGGGAACACACAGGTATTGGCATTCCCATGTACCTGCTGCCCTTGTCCTTATAGATGGTAAAATTCATGGGCTTGGAAGATGCTGTTGAGGGGCTCTTGGTAAGTTAGTGCAGTGCACCTTGTAGATGTGCAGTGGTGAAGGAAGTAAATGTTGAAGCTGCTGGTTAGGGTACCTGGATTGTTGAGCATCATGACTGCTAGTGGAGCTGCACCCATCTGAGAACATGGTAACATAACAGTATCATTGCTGAATCTCCAACCAACATCCTGGAGGTTGCAATTAATCTGAAATTGAGTTGAAACAGTCATAAAAATACTGTGATTGGAGGAATAAGTCAGAAACCTAGAATTCTACAATGAGTAGCTCATTACCTTCTCTTCCCACTGCCTGTCCACCATCTACAATTCTTAAGTGTGTTGGAGTACTTACCATATTCTCGGATGGGTGCAGCTCCACTAGCAGTCATGATGCTCAACAATCCAGGTACCCTAACCAGCAGCTTCAACATTTACTTCCTTCACCACTGCACATCTACAAGGTGCACTGCACTAACTTACCAAGAGCCCCTCAACAGCATCTTCCAAGCCCATGAATTTTACCATCTATAAGGACAAGGGCAGCAGGTACATGGGAATGCCAACACCTGTGTGTTCCCCTCCAAGCCACATTGTATCTTGACTTCAGACTATATAGCTGTTCACTGTCGCTGGGTCAACATCCTAGAACAGCCTTCCTTACAACACTGTGAGTTTCTCTATGCCCCATGGACTGCAGCTATTCAAAGAGGCAGCTTACTCAACAATTATTGATGATCAATAAATAAATAAATGTTGCCAGCAATGTCCGCATTCTAAGAACAAATTTAAAAAGGAGGGAAAATTAGAATATGGGAGAAAACTTGTTAGAAGTATAAAAAGGGATAGTAAGAGTTTCTCACGATGTTTAAAAAAGAAAATTGTGAACAATCGTGAGCATTGGTCCTATAGAAAGTGGGTCTAGGGAATTAATAACAAAAAATGGGAGATGGCAGATAAATAAATTTTATTTATTAGTCTTCATAATGGAAATTCAATTAACATCCCAGAAGTAGCTGTTAATGAGGAAATGGAAAATAGAGAGGAAGCCAGGAAAATTACAATCACCAGGGACGTGGCACTGAGTAAATTGTTGGAGATGCAAGTTGACATATCCCTGGGTCCTGTTGGAGTGAGATGTTTGTAATTTTCAAAGACTATAGATTTAGGAAAATTTCAGAAATTTTGAAAATAACTAATGCCTTTCCTTATTCAAAAAGCAGAAAACTGTAACCCAGTTAACTTGTGATGATGAAGATGTTAGAAGCTGTGACTAAAGATGTGATAGTTGGGCACTTGTTAAATTCAAATTTATCACACAGTCAGTATGGTTTTGTGAAAGGGAAGTCATGCTTAACCAATTTATTTATTTATTTTTTAAATACAGCAAACTTCTTATAATCGGCACCTATGGGACCTGGAATATACCGGTTGATTTAATATTCCAGTTGATTACCTGGACCACTTGATCAATGTAAAAACACACACTAGTAGTAGAATCATAATGCAGGGGGTTCACACATCGCTGTTATAATTTATTTACAGCATAAAACATTTAAATAATAATGCAGTCGGAGATAGTAAGAACTGCAGATGCTGGAGTCAGAGACAACACAGTGTGGAGCTGGAGGAACGCAGCAGGCCAGGCAGCGTCAGAGGAGCAGGAAAGTTGACATTTCTGAAGAAGGACCCTGACCCAAAACATCATCTTTCCTACTCCTCTGATGCTGCCTGATCTGCTGTGTTCCTCCGCTCCACACTGTATTGTCTCTAAATAATAATGCAGCTTTGCCTTATAAAAAAACATAATGGCAGAGAGGTTTCTTACTTGCATCTCAACTGAACTATTCAGACACTGTGGAGATCCTGATGATACAGTAAACTTTCAGTATTTCAGTTATTTAGTTTTTGCTGGTTTATCAAGAGTGCTGGTTTAAAGGTGCCAGTTAAAACAAAGTATGCTATAGTATGTGCCGTGTAAAAAGGAACTAATGGAAGTACTGGCTTAGGTTTAGACTTATGCGCCACATTAGAGGTTATTGTGAGTAATAAATTCTGTTTGTGTCAAGGGTGATAAATTGGCATTGATAAAAGATTGGCTAACCCTCAGGAAACAGTAGGTATAAATGGGTCATTTTCAAATCGGCATAATATCATGAGTGGTTAAGTTGTGAAGAGGACTTGATGAAGCTGCAAAGGGAAGTAGGTTGGTTAAGTAAGTAGCAATGATCTGGCAAATGGAGCATAACATGGGAAAATATGAAATTGTCCATTTTAGCAGGAGGAATAAGAAAGAAACATATTATCCAAATGTGAGAGATTGTAGAGCTCTGAGATGCAGAGGGATTTGGGCTTCCTAGTGCATGAATTGTATAAGGTTGGTACGCAGATACAGCAAGTAATTAGGAAAGCTAATAGAATGTTACCGTTTATTGTAAGAACAGCTGTACACAAAGATTGGAAGGCTTTGTTCAGTCATACAGAGTCTTGGTGAGACCATATCCGGAGTACGGTGTACAGTTTTGGACTCTTTATTTAAAGAAAGATATAAATATGTTGGAAACATAGAGAAGGTAGTCCAAAGTAATATCTGGAATGAGCAGGTTGTCTTATGAGGATAGGTTGAGCATGCAATGCTTGTATCTGATGGCGTTTAGAAGAGTGAGAAACATACAAGATCTTGAAGGATCTTGACAAAATGGATGTGGAAATGATGTTTCTTCTTGTAGGAGAATGTAGAAGTAGAGATCATAATTTAAAATATGGGGTCTCCCCTTTAAGCCAAAGATGAGAATATTTTGGAAATCTCTTTCAAAAGGCAGTGGAAGCATGAATATTTTTAAGGCAGATGTAGATAGATCGTTGATAAGCAAGGGGTTGTTAACATACCGATCCATTCACTGGAAATGCCTGGGAAGTGGGTAAGAAGCAGCTGCTGCGTCTGTGTAAAAGTGACATAATTGTGGTTTCATGCAGTTCAGGTTTTGTCTCAAAATTCTCTAATTTTTGGTTAAATAAATATACAATAGATTGATTCCCATTATCTAATGCAAGTTACACTCCTGTTGAGAGGGTAAGCAAATAGCTTTGTTAAAGGCAGCTCCCTGAAATACAAATGGCTTGTGTATTTCAAAGTCTGAGTTAATTGTTCCCAAACTTGGTAATTGCGAGTGAAGACAACGTTCATCTCAAATATGTAAAACATCACATTGAATAAACAAAAAGAAAGAAACAAGAACGGGAATAGCTGGAGAAACTTAGCTGGTCTGGCAGCATCTATGGAGAGAAAGCAGAGATAATATTTTGGGTCCAGAGACCCTTCTTCATAACTCAAGAAGGCTCACTAGACCTGAAATGTTACCTCTGCTTTCTCTCCTCAGATGCTGCCAGACGTGCTGAGTTTCTCCAGCAGTTTCTGTTTTTGTTTCAGATTTCCAGCATCTTCAGCTCTTTGTTTTTCTTTTGTTTCTTTTCAAATAAAGATAGATGAGTTGTTTTTCACACCTTACTGGGTAGATTAATTTCAGTGTTTTTGAATAAAAATGTTAATTTCAGTTCAAATAATTTTATATTCTCAAATACAAAACTTGGCTATTTTTTCTGATCGCAGTTTGCTGTGACTATTTTAAGTCCGTCTTTGCTATTTAAAACCGTTTTAATCCATAGAATTTGAAAATCATGACAACATGGACTTATCACAGCAACAGTTTGAACGTTTTCTTTATTGCATAGTGTTGGTGCATAAAATCTAGATTCCTCCTTCCACCCTCCCCCTTCCCCTCTGCTGTCTTCTGTACTCACATGCACAGCCATTCATTTTTGTTTCTGACATTACTCTTCCCTCAATGATTTTTAGGTTGACTCCCTCCTGAAGTTTTTATCCGGGAATGTTGCAAATCAGGAGGATCTCTAAGTACAGTCTGTAGAAAGATGCCAGCAGGTATGATTTACCTTCCTTGATTTTGATAGAAAAGGAGAATGCTAGACATTGGAAATAAAAGCAATTCTTTGGAAGTACATGGTAGGATCAATCAGCCTCTGGGCTTGGATGCACGTTCTGGGGTAGGAGGCTGTGGAAACCCAGAAAATGCTGCAAGTTTGTGATCACCTGCAGAAGTATCAGATTTTCAGATATTCAGCATCTGCAGTTTTTTTTGCTTTTTACTTGATAAAAATACTGCTTGATATTGAATTGGTCTCATTCATTGAAAAAGCTTTGAGAGTTAAAAATAAAGTGCTGTAAAAACTCAGATCTGACCGCATCCAAGGAGAGTAACAGATAATGTTTTGAGTTAAGTATGATTCTTTTACGGAAACCTTCCATTTGGAACCAGTTCCAAACGACACACATTTGACTTGAAACATTAACTGTTGTTATCTCACCACAAACATTCCTGGGCCTGCTGAGCTTTTCCAGCACACATTGCCTTACTTCAAATTTCCAATATCTGCAGTATTTTATTCTTTTACTGAGTGCACACATCAAGACAAAGAATATTAGTGCTGAGTGCGACATTTCTCATTTTAGCACTCAGTATCAGCTTTAATAGGTGCTAAATCAGATAGCTTAGCTACACTTTTTGTCCCAATCCCTAAAAAGCAACCTTCATTATAATTTGACCTTTTTAATATTTTGTGCATTAACATTGTTTGGCTGTTTTTTCCTTATTTTTGGTGAACTTTAAGCTTTCAGCCAAACTGGGTTGATACTTTCCACACTCATTTTTATTACAATCCCTGGAGAAGACCCGTACATCCAAAATGAACAACTTTACTGAATAACACACTAAGAAATTATAAGCAAGATTTCTCAAAGTATGTCTTTTATTTGAACATGAATCCAAGTAATTGAAAATTAACAGGCAAATTTTAATTATAATAAAAAGGTAGATATCACTTTAAATAATCCATATAATAAAGGTAAGTTTATCACACCCACAAGCACCTGCAGTACTCACATGGACAGGTTTAAAAGGCTCTCATATAGAATCTTTCACTTTATTATTGTAAGACTATTAGATATAGGAGCAGAATTAGACCATTCAGCCCATCGAGTCTGCACTGCCATTTAATCATGGCTTATATGTTTCTCAACCCCATTCTTCTGCCTTCTCCCCATAATCGCCATCCCCTTGCCAATCAAAAACCTATCTATCTCTGTCTTACATACACTCAATTTCTTTGTCTCCACAGCCCTCTACAGCAGTGAGTTCCATAGATTAACCACCCTCTAGCTGAAGAAATTCCCCTCAGTTCTCAAGGGCATCCCTTAACTCTGAGGCTGTGCCCTTGGGTCATAGTCTGTCCTGTGGGTCCCATGCGGCACCTTGTCAAAAGCCTTCTGGAAATCCAAATAGATTATGTCCACTAACTCTCCTTTGTCTAACTTGCTTGTTACCTCCTCAAAGAATTCTAACAGATTTGTCAGGCATAATCTCCCCCTTGATGAAGGTGTGCTGATTCTACCCTATTTTACCATGTACTTTCCAAGTATTCCACAATCTCATCCTTAATAATGGACTGTAACCTTACCAATGACTGGGGTCACACTAACTGGCATTTGGCTTCTTGTCTTCTGTCTCCCTCCCTTCATAAATAGGGTGTTACATTAGCCATTTTTCAGTTCTCTGGGACCATCTCTGACTCCAGTAATTCCTGAAAGATCGTCATCAATGCCTCTACAGTCTCCTCAGCAATCTCCTTCTGAACTTGGGTGTGGTCTGCCTGGTCCAAGTGATTTATTCACCTTCAGACCTTTCAGTTTCTCCAGCATCTTCTCCTTGGAGATGGTCGCTACACTCACCTTTCCCTCTTGACTCTGTTGAAGTTCTAATATGCTGCTGGTATCTTGCACTGTGAAAGCTGGTGCAAAGTATCTATTCAGTTCCTCCACCATTTGTTTGTTCCCTGTTACTACTTCTCCGGCCTCATTTTCCAGTGTCCAATGTTCACTGTTGTCTCTCTCTCTCTTACCTTTTTATATATTTTGAAAACTCTTGCAATCTTCTTTAATATTATTAGCTAGCTTAATCTCATATTTCATCTTCTCCCCTCTTATGCCATTTTAGTTATCCTGGCTGGTTTTTAAAGGCATCCAATCCTCTGGCTGCCCGCTAATCTTCACCACAGTGTATACTTTCTCTTTTGCTTTTATGCTGTCCCTGACTTCCCTTGTCGGCCATGATTACCTCATCCTCCCCTTAGCATGCTGCTTCTTCCTTGGGATGAATTTCTGCTGTACGTTCCAAACTGTTAGGCCTGCTAGGCTCCCCTTCCAGTCATCTCTGGCCAGCTCCTCCCTCATGTATTTATAGATACCTTCGCTCAGTTGTAATACCTTTGCATATGATTCCAGCTTCTACTTCTCAAACTGCAGGATGAATTCTATCATATAATGGTCATTGCCCCCTAGGGTTCCTTCACCTTAAGCTCCTTAATCAAGTCTGCCTCATTACACATTACCAAATCCAGAACTGCCTGTTCTCTAGTGGGCTGTACCACAAGCTGCTCCAAGAAAACCATCTTGTAGACATTCCATGAATTCCTTTTCTTGAGATCTGCTACCAAACTGATTTTCCCAGTCCGCCTGCATACTGAAGTCCCTCATAATTATTGTAATAGTGCCTTTCTTAACATGCTTTTTCTAGCTCCTGATTTACCCTTGATTTGAGTTAATTGGCAGCTATATTCCATCCAAGATACTTGGAGTCTGTAATCATCTGAATGGCATAATTCTGTTGAATGCCCTTTGCTAGGTTCACAACCAGCTAAATTGCACAGATTCCCAGAGACTGTTTCATTTAAACCTTTTAATAAATCCGATGAACAGTCTGGTCAGCTCTGGTAAAAGCAAACTGAAACTGTGCAGCCAGATAGATTTACCTTAACTTCACTCCTGTTGGTACTGTTTCCAAGACAAGGGTCAAGACAAATGGACTAGTGTTTCTTCTTATTGATTGAGTCTTTACAATTGATGCAAACTCTTAAAAACCCATAAACACTATAAAGACATTGCAGATGTCCCTAACATATTGCTTCTGGATCAAAGGTCATTTACATTTTTAGTGAGGCCCAGTCTGCCAGTGAATAAGAGATACTTCTTACCCTTTTGGTCTAGTTTTTAAAATATAAAATATTTGTGATGAGCATACTGTGTATACCATGTCAGCACTACTTCCCATCATTTCACATTGTTTTATCATCCCTTGCCACTTTCACTTATCACAAAACTACTTGGACATTATGAATGATCCCTGCATATGGTTTTGACCAGTTTTTGTGTCATTATTTACATTTCTTTTGTTAACGGAGGTCAACTACCATGTGACTGAAATCAATAGAAGATTGTTTATTATAGTGGTAAAAGATCAGGCCAAAACAAAAGATGCAAAAGAGATTCTAAAGATAAATAATTGTTAACAACAATGAAACAAAGTTATTTTAAAAATCTTGATTACTGTGCTATGGCAAGTTGCAGATTCACAGAGAACCTGGTTTTAAGACTATAAATGTTTTTATTTAACCGTATTAACTGAAATGTCTTTAATTTGACTATTTATTCGTTTAACAACTTACTCAACGACTGCATTTTTGTTTTTCAATTTCCTCTGTGGACATTGTGATCTTGTTATTTGTTTGCAATAGCACTTTCTTTAGAGCATGTTGACCTTATTATTTTTAAAATGTTTAAAATTTTTGCTAAATATTCAAATAAGTTTTTAAAATTGTTCATGCTTGCCTCTTGATTGCTTTTGTAATGTAATTAATTGTCATATGAATCACAGCAGATGTAAAATGAATACCGTTTTATATCCTAAATTTGCCTTTGGGTGAGTGCTGAATTTACAGTCTATTTTAATCATTATGGCTTATAGGAGAAAGTGAAGCCAAGGCAAAGACAAAAGCTCAGTTTGAAGAAGTGTTAAAAAACTACTCTGGTTTAACTGTTGGGAAAAAGAAATCAAAAAAGAGCATACCTACCCAAGAAAATATTGTGGTGAGTACAGATTATGAATGACAGCAAATCATGCTTTTATCTCCGCTTGTATCCTCAGGTTTTTGTTGCTTGTTTGGTGCAATGTTTGAATGGCACCTGCAGATCAATTCTATTAGAATAGTAGACATGACTTAAGGCTGGGGCTCAATCATATTAGAAAAGATTAAGCGAATGAGGCACTCAGCATTGTGAGATAAAAGACTGCCCTTTTAGATTTTATTATTTAATATGAGATCATTATGGCAAAGCTATTGTTAGTCTTCCCTTAACACATTCATTTGACATTGAAACTGCTAACATTGCATCAAACTTACAGAACTCAGAATTTCTGACTTTGGCATGAAAGGTATTTTTTTGATCACCCTTTAATTTATTGAGGGATTATTATGAAAATGGGCATAAAATGAGTTCTGTATCAATAAGTCACAACACATTTAAGTCTGTGGTATGCATTCAACTTTAGCTAATTTATTATAATTTATTTTAGTACTTCTAGCCATGTTCAGATACCTGCAGGTTTAGCATTCAAACACCAATTTAGATACAATACTTTTTGGAATTATTTATGTGAGCTCCTTGCACCCACTTTCACTGAAGATAAACATTGAACTGGCTGACACACCTTTTCAGAGGGATTTGGAACAGAAGTTTACAGATTGAGCGCTGAAGATTCTGTTGGGGGAAAGATACCCTGTAACCTGCAGATGATGAAGTCTATTTTGCCCTCCAGTCCTTTTTATTCTGCAGGACCTGGTGCTGCTCTGTCTTGCTCAAATCTTCCTTTCATTCCTCTGCAGAGAAAGGTGTACATGACTAAATGTTCACTTTCTGAAGTTGATTCTTACAGGGTTGAGTAGCAGTGTAGGTAAGATCCTCAATACTTTTTGGAATGAGATTTGATGGAATGATTCCAGAAAGACTCCCAATTTGGTTTGAAAAGGCACTTTAGACCTCTAGCAGCAAGTGGATCATAAAAGGTACTATCTGTTTAAGCAACACCCAAAATTCTCAGCAATGTGAGGTTGCTCCCAGTCACTGGTTGCCAGTTGAGGATCTTAGGTCAAGCACTACTCAGTAAAATGGCACTCAATCTTGTTATTAAGTGGTAAAAATCAATTTATTGGCAATCAGCTGCTTAATGATCCTCTGGAAAGCCATTCCCATTGATGGCTTCAGCTCTTTTACATAATAGTGACCACTATAAACATGGGCTAAACCACTGTTGCATCTCAGGATCCTACTTTAGCCATCTTGGAAGATTGTTAGCACCTTAAGTATCCTGGGAAAACCTTGTTTTAATGTTTGTCATCTAATCACCTTTAATCAGTCCTCTACAATACAAAATTCGGGAATAGTTATAAGGAAAAGGTTAATTCAGCATTGGACGAACAATGAAAAAGTTTCTGACGAGTGTAATGAAAATTGGATTTCTTTTTACATAAGATGTGCATTGAAAACTTAGTGTGTTCAATCCTGAATATCCACTTGTTAACTTTAAAATTTGACTTACATTCTTAGGGTTCTGACACTTAAAACTTCAGTTCAAATGAAGGTTTAAACAAATAACATTTTGTACGTTAGAATTAATATGCCAGAATATACAAAAGCAAGGTATCGGGTGGCGTTAGTGACAGTTAATTTTACTTTTTAAACTTTGTCCTTCAGCTCAAATGTTTTTGTACCACGCATTTGTTAAGGAAGAGTTGGTGAATGATAAGACCAACAGTCTGTCTCCTGAAACCACAAAAATTTAAGACCAGAGTCAAAATCAGGAATGACTGAGAATAAAATTACGTAAATCAGTTTCAAATAGAGAAAGAAAAAAAATCATTGAGAGGAAAGAAAATTAAAGAATAGCGAGACAACTTTAAAAAATTACATTTTAAATGCTTGAACAATTTACCACCTATAAGAATGAGACTGGTTATCAAATCCAACATTCCAGCAAATCAAGCAACTTTTTAACTCATGGGAAGGATGACTGAGTTATTGGAAGCTTTGGACAGATGACAAAAAGCTTGGTTAAAAAGAAAATTTAAGGAGTGCTTTAAAGGAGCAATGCAGAGGTATAGACAGGATATCCCAGAGCTCGGGGGAAAAGGCAGCCAAAAGCCATAAAGAGTGCTTGAATTAAAATTGGGAATGCTGAGGAGGCAAGAATTAGGAATACAGCCGTCTAAGACTTGTGGTTATTCAGGAGGTTACAAAAATACAGGGACTGAACTTTAGAAGGATTTGAAAAGAAAGATGAGAATTTTAAAATCATGGTGTTGCCTGACAACAGGTAAGCAGTCATTGACAGTGTAGTGAAGAGTAAAGACCTAGGAGCAAAAATAGGTCATTCAGCCTATTGAGACTGCTCTGCCATTCACTGAGATCATGGCTGATCTGATAATCCTAAATTGCACATTCTTACCTATTACCCAGAACCATTGGTACCCTCATTGATTAAAAATCTGTCTATTTCCGCCTTGAATATACTTAACATCCTTGTCTGTGGTAAAGAATTCCACAGATTCACTACCCTCCGAAGCAATTCCTCCTCATCTCTTCCTTAAGTGGCTGACCAATTATTCTGAGATTAGCCCTCTGGTCCTCCACTCTCCCACGAGGGGAAACTTCTTTTCTGAATCTACCCTGTCAGTTTACCTAAGAATCTTGTTTGTTTCATTGACATTGCCTCTCATTCTGAGCTCCATTGAGTACATTTTTAAACTGTGGGGCTACTTGGCTGAATCCAGTGGTGTGTATTACTGCTGTTTATGATCCTGATACATTTTTTTTTAATTTTGTCTAGCTTGAAAAATTGAGGAATAAACTTAGTCTACACAAGGACAATGAAGATGACGAAACTATTCTGAATAACACTTATAACCCAGAGGAGCAAAGTCCCCGCTTCTCAAAAAACAAATTGAATGACAGGACCTCTGTGGCTGAAAAAATTAGCAATGTTGAGTTTTTTGAAGATGAAACCCCAGCCAAAAACAAGAAGAAAAAGAAAAAAGTGGGTGAACATTCATTTATTGAGGAGGTTCCTCGTCCAGACTGTGTATCAATCCTGCAAAAATCCAGAGAAAAGAGGTCAAGAAGTGCCTATGGAGAGGAATACCATACTGAAATTGTGAAAAAGAATGATATAGGAGAGGATGTAGATACCCTAATCCAAGCTTATCAGCAGGCTATTGCTGTCAAAGATGCAGGAGGTGTCAAAAAGAAATCCAAGCAAGTTGAGGCGCATTCAGTAAAAACATTTTCACACGTGTCTTCAAAATTAGCCAAGAAACTGGATAAGATGAAAACACTGAAAGAGTCAGCATCAGTGGAGGGAGAAACGAGGTAAGAATAAGAACATAATTTGTCACAATATACCTTTCTAGAACTTACATGTTAATGAAATTTGGTCACAATCTGTGCCATAGAATTCTTGAATTTATATTATGCAGTTACGTAATTCTCATAAATAAACAATATATGAACATACAGCTTAAATAGTAGGTATTTTAGGAGTCTGCAATGTGCTTGTTTTTTCCATCCAAGATACTCAAAATCTGAGAATGCAACATTGATGACTCCTACAGTAATTCTCTGAGTTTTGTTGCTGGGAGCACATAATCGAAATGCCTACTATCGGTTTCAGAGCCCATGTTCAAATGGGTTGCAGCAGAAACTCCAATATATATACTCCTGGCACATAAGCTCTTTAGTGGGAGCACAAAGATTAGTGGCCAATGAGCCCACGGCATTCAGAAGCCTTGTACTTCCACGAGGACGATTCCCTCCGGGACACCTTGGTCCACTCCTCCTCCATTCCTGTCTCCCCACACTCCTATGGCACCTTCCCATGCAATCACAGAAGGTGTAATACCTAGCCATTTACTTCGTCCCTCCTCAATATCCACAGCTCCAGACACACTTCCAGGTGAAGCAGTGAGCTACCTGTACTTCACTCAATCTAGTCCACCATATTCGCTGTTCAGTCTGCACTTTGTCTCCCCAAGGTAGAGGAAACCACGTTGTGAGCAGCGAATACAGTAGACTAGATTGAGTTCTTAATCTCTTTCTAAAAATCTAATTAATTTGTATTTTACATATAATATTTAACTGTAACTTGCTATTTGAATTCTAAATTCAAAAGGTTAAGTAAAAGCTGCCTAGTTGAGAATGGCAGAAGTTAATTAATTACAGAAACTAACTTAAATTCTTTTTCTGCACCCAAGCTAACTCTTTAGATTCAGAGCATAATGATTGAAGCATTGCAGTGTGACTTTGAACAGTGCTGAGAGTTGTGTGAATGAGGGAATTAAAGAAGGAGGGAAACAACGCGCTCCCTTGTTCTTTCCAACTTTTCTGTCCTTTAGAATTGGTTCTTAGTTGACTACAAGAAGTATTTGGTGGATATCTGTTTAAGATCGATAACATTACAAAGAGATTGAAGCTGGGAATGAAATATTCAGGGTATGTGACATTTTTTAAGGACAGGCAGAAAGGAAAGGTGGTGGGATAGCATAGTTAGTAAGGAATGGAATAAGTGTGATAGCAAGAAATGATCTTGGTTCAGAGAATGTAATGGGAAATAACAAGGGGAAGAAGACTCCCTAACAGATATTCATTCAGACTGAGAATAAATCGGGAGAAATGAGGGCATGTTTTAAAAAAAAGCAGTACGTTAACCATGGATGACTCTAGTCTTGTAGACTGGGATAGTCAGATTCATTTATTTTTGAAACTGTATCCTGGAGCAGTATGCTCTGGATCCAACCAGGGATCAAAGATTTGATTTTGGATTTGATGATGTGTAATGAAGCAAGTTTAATATGATGTCAGAGGAAAAGATCCCCTTGGAAACAGTGGCCATAATATTAGTAGAATTTAGCGTTCAGTGGGAGTGGGCGGAACTTAGGTCAAAAACACCTGTACTAAGCTTAAATCAGAGTTAATACAAAGAAATGAGGGCAGAGCTAGCCAGAGTGGACTGGGAAAGGGGTTTAGCAGCAAGATGGTTGAGAAACAATGGTAAATGTTTAAGAAAATAGCTCACGACTCACAACAAAGATATCTCTGAGTGAGAAACTAGAATTCTATTGAGGGGATAAGCCAACCATGGTTAACTAGGGAAGTTGAGAATAGCATCAGCTTGAAAGAAAAATCATACAATGTGGCAATGATTAGCGGTAAGCTAGAGAACATAAGAATGAGAAGTAGGAGTACGCAATTCAGCACCTCGAACCTGCTCTGCCATCTGATACAATCATGAGTTATTTCATCTCGGTCTCAACCCTGCTCTCCATAACCCTTCAACATGTTACTAATTAATCTGTTTCTTCCTTCAATTTACTCAATGTCCTGGCATGTCTGAATACTGGGTTGTGAATTCCATAGATTCACAACCTTTTCAGAGAAGCAATTTCTCCTCATCTCTGTTTGAAAACTACTATTCCTTATCCCAAATCAATGGTCTAGATTGCCCCACATGAGGGAATATCCTTTCTATGTCTACGTTGTCAATCCTTTTCAGCATCTTATGTACCTCAATTAAAATTCCTCTCATTCTTCTAAACTCCAGAGAGTATACAATAAGAATTTCTGTAGATATTTAAAGTAGAGTTATCCATGTGAACGTTGGTCCTTCAGAAAGTGGTTGTCTCGAGTTAATAATGGAGAGTGAGAAAGCACGATAAATCAACAGGTGCTTTTGGATCTGCATAATAGAGGACACAAGTTATCCCAGAAATAGCTGTATCTCAGGAAATGAAAGGGAGCAAAAGAGCTGTTATGAACCTAAGTGGAATATGTTCCTCCACCTTGTGTTGAACATCATTGCAACACTGTAGTATGGGACTAAGATGGTTTACATCCTCTAGGACTAGAGTTCCATAGATTTAGATTTTGACTTCTGTGCTCCAGTTTCTCTTGCATCTTCCACTTTTGCCTGACCAAGTCATATTTGTGTTCTGATCAAATTTTGCTAAAATGCACCTGCTTCTTCATTGTACTGATGAAAGGAAGTTTTCCTTTGCAAAGCAGACCAGAGGCTTTTCCTTTGTGGTCCAAAGTTATCTGCGAAGGTAGCTTGCAGTGTTGATATTCAGTAGATTATGTGTGCAGGTTGGCTGACCCCCAAACTGTCTATTGTTTCAGACGTGGTTGGGTTCACTACGTGGGAATTGTCTGAACAACTCTTGGGATGGTGGTGAGTTGGAGAGGAGAAGCAGTTATTCTCCAGATGCAAGTTTGCATTGTAGCTAGCCAGGTGCCTACGCTCTATTCCAATGGCTAAGTTAAAAGTCACAAACCCCCTTGTAAGATGAGTGTAACATGATGTTCCATTATGTCAGGGTTTCCCTCTTAGAGTCGATTATCTTTGTGGAAAATTGTAGCACATTAATGAGCATTCCAGGCCCATGAGGAACGTACCCATGAATTGATTTGGGTAACATTGAATTCAGAGAGATTTTCTGGAAGATTATTGCCAAGTCCAGTGCTGCTTTTAGCAGGCATCTCTGTGGGTGGTTTACCATGTTGTAAAAATGTTAACCATATGTAACCATTAGATAGTTGGTTATGTAATAGTAATTGGTTGCAACTCCATTTGTGACATCCGTTTTAAAAGATCGAGCCTCTTGGCTGAGTGCAGGTTAATTAAGCGAAACTTTCTATTGTTCCATCTCAGTGCCTCAACTAATACAAGTCTATTTGCTGACCAATCTGTCTTTTTCAACCATTCTTAAAAGTAGTTGCAGATTTCACACACCTTTCAAAGAAATTACAAGTTTTCTTTGCATTTCATCTTCCAGACAAAAGGTTGTCACACATTACTCAACTATACATATAAGCAGCTACACAATGGAAATTGCAAATCACTCTGCATTCCATTGAAGATGGTCTTCAGTCAAGCAGTTTGATGCCACACATTTAAGTTTGGGTTTAAGACAGACTGGTCAAGGAGAAGGCAAAGTTAAGAATTACTTTCAGGCTTAAACTTAAAAGTAACACTATTTATTGCACATTAATATTAAATTTTGCTATATTTAGTATAATGATATTACTGATCAGTCTCTGATCTATTGGTACATTATATAAGGACTCATTTAACTTTGTGTGTTCATGTCCATGTTGTAGCCTGGTCAGGCATAGAGTGGTCTAAATCAGCCCACTCTATGCTACTTATACTGGGTGAGATGTAGCTCCGTGACATCATTTCAAGGCTGCTGGAGGGCCCTGGAACCCCTTATACAACAGAGGACTCATGTCCAGAAAAAGTACATGAACACACATTTGAGAACTCAATTTGGAAATTTGATTGTATGATCAAATGATTGTATTTGATCGAAAAAATGTCCATGTTCAAAAAATGGTCACTAATTAGTTTTAAAATGCCCTTTTGTCCCCTTCTGCCCAAGTGAAATGCACCTTTCAGAGCTACAGGATGAAATTGATGGTAGAGAAAAGAACATTCCTCACAGAAAATTGATTTCTGAAGTAGAAGAGATAAAAAATGAAGAAAAAGAGAGACGTAAGCAAGAGAAGAAACAACAAAGACCAAAAAGAAAACGAACCAAGAAAATTAAAAAAGGTACAAAAATTTCAAGTGAATAATTTTAAAAAGTGCATTGTAGAACTTGGTGCACCAATTTTTTTGATATAAGCATTTATGTTGAGATCTCATTAAAAGGTATTTGTTATACAAGGTATGGTGAAAAAATTGATAATATTTTCTGTTTGAAAAATAATTGGTGTAATTTCATAAAGTTTAAATGAAATTGTTTCTTTGATACAGAAAAGTTTAGCCCTAATTTATTGACTGAGCAGTGCCTTCTGGTATTGAATATACTATAAGTTGGAATAGTGTCATCTCAGTTCCCAATGGTCCAGAGCATAAATATACCTTATCAGTTGATGTCAGACTACTAGATTCAGAATTGCTCTTGCAGAGGGTCCAAAATCTGCTTTCTGAAAAATCCCTTTGACCGGATTAGAAATGGAAAGGTTACAGGAATGGCTAGTATGTTAAATGGAAGCACTGCAGTACATGATATTGTGTGTGGTTTTAAGAGATAATATTCAACATAGAAGAAACTTTATTATGCAGATACTTAGGTAGTGCTAATTTAGGAATGTTTGGTGCTAACACTTTCGGCATGATTTTCCATTCCCAATAGAGTTGGTTGTGGATGTGATTTCAGAATTGTTTCAGAAGGCACCTCTGGATTCCTATGCATCCAGTTCACTTCTTGACTTTTGTAACAAAAGGCAGGGGACAGAAACAGGAAGCCCTTATTTTCAATTAACTAGCTATTAGGGAGCTTTTTAACAAACAAGCTAAATAGACAATAGAAATATCCCATCTTCTTCCTGTTAATGGGACAGACAAGGAGAAGATGGGATGTTTCTATTGTCTGTTGAGTGAACTCAAAACAATTTTAAATTAATTAGCCATCCGTTTTACATTGCAACCAATTTTACTTTCTAGCAATAAAAGCTAAAAGTTCACTCAAAAGTAAGAGGCATTTACTCATTTTAGAATCATTTGCATGATATTAAGATAATTAAACAAAGTGTTTGCCAAAGTCAAAATGAATATGTGTTGTTATTTTAGTTCGTGCTCAATTTTCTTTGCTTTTATTGTGAAATCTGATTTGGAAAATGACTTATGCACTGTAACAATGCTTTGGTCAACTCATACACTAGCTTTTAGTTTTTTGCGTAAAACAGTTTCAGAAATGATTTTTAGCTTTGAAAATGTACACGGGACAGCTCCAAATTGTCCTATAAAACCTAATGTTGAACATTGCAAATTGTGCAGGTGTCTAATTCTGCTGCTGCTCCTATTGGCCCACAGGGCCTTGTGGATGCTCGGCTTTGAGTTGCTACAGCTGTTTGAAGTCTGTCCAATTTAGAACAGTGATAGTGCCGCACAACGCGTGCACTATTTTCATATCACATAAAATAATTCTCACTGATAGGGTAGCATAGTGGTTATGTTACTGGACTAGTAATCCAGGAACTCAGAACTAATTGGCAGAAAGCTGAGAGTTCAAACACCCACCATGGGGTTCCTGCAGTTTCTGATCATCGCACTGTCCTTGTGAAGACAATGTTGTGTGTGCATATTGAGAATACCTTGTATCGTGTTGTGTGGCGTTATCACCATTCTAAATTAGACAGACTTCAAACAGATATAGCAACTCAAGACTGAGCATCCATAAGGCCCTGTGAGCCTTCAGCAGCACAATCTGCCAAAGCTCCTTTGAAATTATCTTCCAAATCCACTTCCATCTAGAAGGATAAGGACAACAGATACATGGGAACAGCCACCACCTGTAAATTCCCTTCAAAGCCACTAATCGTCCTGACTGAGAATTATATCATCATTCCTTCAATGTCTTGGCTCAAAAATTTGGAACTCCCTCGTTAACGGCATTGTGGGTCTACCTACAGTACGTGGACTACTGTGGTGCAAGAAGGCTGCCCACCACTATATTCTCGAGGGCCACCAGGGATGGCAAGTGAACGATGGTTCAGCTAGTGATGTCCATATCACATGCATGAGCAACAGAAAAAAATCTGAGATGAAAAGCTAGTATTAGTAATGCCTCTCACATTATTGCATAGCCTCATCGGATTCACTAATATCTTGTAGGTATAGATTCTGCTGTCCTTACTTATCTGACCTACACCTGATTTCAGACTGATGTTTATGCAGCTGACTTACAATAGTTTTATGAAATGGTTTGTGTAGCTTATCAGCGCCACGTTTTCTATCTGAGTCAGGAATGGGCAATCAGCCTGCAACCTATGAATGAGGAATTATTTTTTAAAAACATTAATGGCCTGTTTGTAATTAACTAAACTAAGATAATTTTAAAATGGATTCAAAAGTTGAAAGCTGAACATTGACATTCTGAAAATCACTTCAAACAGTTCAAATATCTAGATATTTGAAGGATGAAACCGGAATGTAATAGGAAATACATTGAACCATCTCCTGCCCACAATAATTAGAAAGACCTGCAAGCACGAGTAGCATTGTCTCACACCTCTTTCTCCAAATTATATAATGGCAGAGCAGCAAAGGAAGCTATTTGGTCCATTGTGCCTATGCTCTTGTTTCACTGTAGCTCTGAAACTTTGCCTCCTTCAAGTATTTCTCCAATTTCCTTTTGAAGGTTTTTGCTGAATCTGCTTCCATCTTCTGACAACCACCTTAAATGTATGTCCACTGGTTACCAACCGTTGTATCACAAGGAAAGTTTCTCCTTATTGACTCTATCATAATTCCCTCAACCAAATTTCCTATAAATATTCTTATTACAACAACCCCAGTTTCTCTAGCTGTTCTATTTAATCTGAAAACTGTATGTCCCTTGTCCCTGATATGATACTGCATCCTTTCTAAAACCTTATTCATAAGTTCCTTTTAAAGTACGAGGCCCAGAATTTGCCACAGTACGCCAGCTGAGGCTTACTCCACATTTTATAAAGGTTTGTACCCTTTGTTGCGTTGATAAAGCCAAGGATCCTCTATGCCTTTTCAACATTGCTTTCAAGATGCCATCGGATTAATTTATTGTTTTATTTGCATGCCTTTTTAAAAGAGGGTTTTTTAAAAAAAATCAGCCCTAAGATATTATCTGTCATAGATTTTACCAAATAATTAATGTTACATAATTCACTTTTGCAGGGCATATTTCTGAAATTAATGTAATTGCTTGCTTTGTGTGGATATCTTCAGCTGGACAAGTGTGTAACGCATTTTACAAATTGAAATTTTAATTGCCTAGCAACTTCCTTTTACATATATAATTGAAATGAAATGGATTCGCTAAACTAGCACCAGTAGGTGTCACTGTTGTCTTGTATTTGTGAGATTTTTCCATACAGGAAATTGGCAGTCCTCTCTAGAGATGTGAACAATGCATTGGAAAGCTATATCGACACGAATAAGAATTCTCATTGTAAAGTTGTCCTAATTTACCAATAGTAACTGATGTCGGTAGGTTGGCCATGGAAAAGGCAGGGTTACAGGGTTAGTGTGGAGGAGTGGTGGATCTGGGTAGACTTCATTCTATGTCTTATGTCCTCACATGATGTGTTAGGTCATTTATGTGTTAAAGAAGTTACGTCCTATCATTATTTGTGGTGTCATCTGTTAGCTCCGACTCTATACTGAGAATACAGTTACAGCAACTGGCTACTTAGTGCTGCAGTCACATATGTATTAGTTTTCTAAGATAATTATAAACAGGAGCACTTCTGCAACTTAATTTTAAATGTTTCAATTTTAATATGTTTTTCCTTTTTTTTAGGTTTAATCACCCTCTACTGCCATGTTTCTTGTCTTCTCAGCAATTCAGCTTTCTTCATCTTGTCACTATTCCCCAGTCCGTTTCTTTCCAGACCTCTTTTCCTCAAAGAACCTTTTCTGAATTGTCATGCGCATGTCAGTGATTCTATGTTCTATGGCCTATTCAAAAGTGTTTGGTTACTGCGGTTGCTCCTTTCTGAAGCTGTGATTAATCTACTGACATTGCTCTGGCCCACAATCAAGATAACATTCAGACACGGGAGAGACAAGTATTGGAGTTCTAGAGAGAATCAGAAAAAAAGAAGCATTAGGGAAGTTAGAGGTAGGTACATTCTTAGGGATACAGTCAGAAAGAAGGAACATTGGACCAAGGAAAGAAATCGAGATCAGTGAGAGTACAAAAAGAGAGAAAATCTGAAAATAAAGAAAGATAAGAGATTTTGGGCAAAGGGAATTGGAAAACCAGAAAACGCAGCCTGATGATTTCCAAATCTGACAGGGATTCACCTGTATGTGTAGGGGATGTATAGATTAGGGAGATGAGTGGGATGCTCTGTGGGTCGGTGTGGACTTGTTGGGCCGAAGAGCCTGTTTCCACACTGTGTAGGGATTCTATGATTCTAACCTGGTCAATTGCATCCATTGCTCCCGATAGGGTCTCCTCTATATCGGAGAGACCAAGTGCAGACTAGGTGACCGATTCACAGAGCATCTGTGCTCTGTACGCTCCAATCAATGCCACCTTCTGGTTGCCAGCCATTTCAACTCCCCCTTCCACACCCTTGGTGACATGTCTATCCTGGGCCTTCTCCACTATCAAAATGAGGCCGCATGTAAAGTAGAGGAGCAAAACCTTATATTCCCCCTCAGGAGCCTACAGCCCATTGGCCTCAACATTGAGCTCACCAGCTTCAAAATCTCCCTGCCTCTGGCCTCATCCCATGTCCAGCCCTCCCTCTCATACCTGCCTCATGACATGACAGAACCTTGTCCATCTTCCTTCTGACCTATCTGCCCCACCCTTCCCATTGACTAATCTCTACAACCCCCTACCTGCATCCACCTATCGCCATCCCACCTACTTTCCCCCACCCCCCCCCCCCCATTTATTTCTGAGCTCCCTTCCCCCCCGCCCCCCACCGATGTAAGGTCCCAACCTGAAACGTCGACTTTCCTGCTCCTCTGGTGCTGCCTAACCTGCTGTATTCCTCCAGCTCCACACTGTATCGACTCTAATTTACAGCATCTGCAGTTTTTGCTATGTCCTAAATGCATGGTGTGTACATGGTGTGTGTGTGTGTATGTGTGTATGAGAGGGTGAGTGTGTGTTTGCATGTGTGTGAGAGAGAGGGGTGAGTGTCTGTGTGTGTGTAGGGGGCGAGAGAGTGTCTGTGTCCGTGTGTGTGTGTGTGTGTTATTAAAAATACAAGATTCAAGTGAATTGTAATAAACAAATTTATGTCATAACTCATTTTTGCCAAGCACAATGGGCTACTTTATTTTTGGTAACTGAAAATATTCCATGTAAGCAGAGATCTGATGGTATGCTGACACAGTCTGTGCAAATTTGTGGAGAGATTAAGTTTTAGTTTCTTGTTACATTTAATTGGCTTTATATAAATGGGACTTGTGTTAATGTGAACAGCATTCCAGTAGAATTTAGTTCAGTTAGGGAATAGTTAGTACTTGCGGGGGCGGAATTGTTCAGTTTGTTAGTAATTCTGTTAAATTGTTCATTGTGAGGTCAAATAACTACATTGTTACTTACTACTTACAACGTGGAGATTAGGGATTTTCTTTCATCTAACTTTGCTTTTAACAGATTGTAAAGGCGAGGTGAGCTTCTCTGAATCTTTCAAGTTTAATTATTAGAAGGGAACTTCTATTCTCCACCATCAGATTGGGGCTTGTGTTTTGGTTTAATTATCAGAGGGGTTCGACTTTCCCTAACAGTTTAGGGGCTTGTCTGGGATGTTTTTCCTTGTAATCTTGTCAGTGAGGACTTTGATCTAAAATGCCGTGGTACCTGTTTTGGATAGATGGTGTTTTCTTAGAGAGCTTAGTGATTTCTTGTGAGAGCTGAAGACTTATTTCTCAGATGGCAGGTTTGCTTTTCCCTCAGGTGACAGTTGGTCCTCACACCCCGCCCCCCCACACACACACACATACACACACCTCCCCCCCCCATGACCCATCAATTTCTTATAAAACCATCAGTTTTAAATTCAATTGGTTTTCTGTATCTAGGTGCTTGGTTTAAATTCATTGGCTAAATTCAAGCTTCTTGTCTCAATACCAAAACAGAACTGCTGTTTTGTCTCCCAACTGTAAGGCCTTTTGATACACTTGTTTCAATTTTGGGGCTGTCTGTACAGTACTTGTAAACTTCCAAGCACAGACAAATCACAATCTCTGTACTGCTTTTCCACGCTATCATTTTTACCAACAATTCTAACTTCGTGCTTTCCAATTCATGAATTCATAATATGAATTTGTAACAGGATCCAGTAATGGAGGAGGGTAGGTAGCAGTACTTAGCAAACTGGATGGTACTTTGAAGTATAGTACTGCCCGACTTGGAGATGTAACTGGGAGGTCTTGAGAGTTATGTACACAGCATTGGCATATTAGGCAGATAAGGTTGGATGATGTAATTAGAGATAAGTGAAATTAATAGGTTATTAATAACAGAAAATGTGTAAATAGGCATGAGAAGAAAATTGCACAGGAATTAAAGTATTTCTTTACATAGCATGAACACATTATACTAATGTATAATATTTAATACCTTTTTGTTTATTCATAATATCTGGCTGCCCCTAATTGCCTTTGTGCAAGTGGTGGTGATCTTCCCCCTGAATTGCTGCAGAATATCCTTTGTAAGTAAACTCTCAGAGCTGGTAGGAATTTTGATCCAGTTGCAGCATACCATCGGATCTCTGCTTACATGGAATATTTTCAGTTACCAAAAATAAAATAGCCCATTGTGTTTGGAAAAAATGAGTTATGACATAAATTTGTTTATTACAATTTACTTGAATCTTATATTTTTAATAACAAGCCACTAATCCATTTTGCAGCATTACAGAAAAGGTAAGAGTTCAAGCTTCACAAGTTTCCAGTATCAGCCTTGCTATTGGGAAGGGAGAGGTATGAAAAGAAGGAGCTAAACTGGGGAGACATAACATCATTTTGAGCACTTTAATGCAACTTTTATATATTCTTTAAAAAGTTTAAATGCACTAACTGTATTTTTCTGTTAGTGACAGAGGAAATAGAGTCAAAAGAAGAGATAATGCATGAGACAGCTCCAGGGCTAGAGACTGCACCTCAGCAGCAGAAGCCAAAGTACGTGACTGATGACGATCTTGTCCTTGGTGTATATATCCACAGAGCAGACCTATTAAAAACAGATATTCTGACATCCCATCCCTCAGTGAAAGTTCATGTTATTGACGAAGTGTCAGGGCAATATGTAAAGAAAGAACATAGGTAAGTTGCAAAGCTTTAAAGAAAATTTGCCACATCCAATAATGCATAAATTGACGTGATTCAGTGTGAGAATAAGTCTTTTATGTAATGTACACCTATGTGTTTGTAAAAAGGCACAAAAACGTCAATACAATTTGGTTTTTTTGCAGAAGAAAAACGTTTTGTTGAGAACCTTTCATATTATCAGGATGGTCCAAAATATTTATTTTAAAAATGATTATTTTTGAAATGTACCCACTTAAAGTGACTCTTAAAATCTGCACAGTAAAGCCTAACAAACAGCAGTGAGATAGATGAACAGTTAATCTGTCTGATATTTGGCAAGCCGTAAATATTGGCCAGGACATCAGTTGGACTTCCTGTTCCTCAAATTGGGCTATGCAAGTTGTTACACATTTGCACATTCACATTTAATGTCTTATCAAAAGATGGCATTAATAACAATGTAGCAGTATCTCAGCACTGTGTTGAATTGTGAGATTAGGTCATGTGTAAATGTTTCTGAATTTTGATGCTATAGACCACGGCTGTGATGCATGCTACTAAGGAATGTATCAGCTACACATCCATCTAGAAGGATCATACTTGCCTTTAATACGCTGATTGTGCTTTGTTTTATAAATTGAAGTGCCTTGGAATATTTTATTATGTTACAGGTGCTTCAAACAAATTCTTGGAAATTGGTGTGCAATTGAATAAGTGCAGAAGAGTTGGTGATTGTGAATATCAAGTCACATTGAAAAATGGGGTGTTAATTTTGTTTGCATGATGTTCTTTTGCTTGTTGAAATTAGCAAGATAGTCACTCATTACAGTCATCCATCTCTTTAAAGTTCTGCATTTAGCACATGCCCAAAGACCATTGTCAAATGTTCATGTATGACGAACTGTTAAATTAAAAAGCTGCTTTTCGTTGACTGATTTTACAAAATAGTCAATCAGAAAATGTTAAACATAAGCAGTTTAATTCCTGAGCTTTATTTTAACATACCACTGGAATGGATGAGGAGGAATAAATGGCCAGCCTTCTGAAAATTGGTCATTCCTTGGTTACAGGTCTGTACCTGGTAAAGATTGGGGAAGTGTGTTCCAGAAGTCTGTGGTTGCAGGAGAAGGAAGATTGAATCTGGAGCATTCCAACTCTACCTGACTTCACACAGGAAAATAAACAGAACTGTTAAATATTTATTCACATTCTGATAGTCCTCTGAGACTGAAAGGAAAATGTGCTCGGAGTGGTCTATCAGTCACCGACTGCAGCCTTTCCTGGGGCATTAGGCTGATGTAGATAACTATCTTTGCTCATGTAAGGACTAAATGTCTAGTGAGCAACATCAAAATGAACAATAAATATAACTAGCTCATAGTTGAAGAGAGTCAGGAAATGTACTTGTAACAGGATCCTGCAATAATCCTTGCCTTTTGAATATTCTCTCCCCTGGCTATAACCCATTGGCCAACATTCTCCAGTTAGCAAAGGAAACAGGTAAATCATTCTTAGATCTCAAACATAGTTAAATAACATTTTTCTTGAGGAAGCTGTGTACTCTGGTGCTGTTCTTCCCCTGTGTTCTCCTAAAGACTGAAATTCATTAGTTAGGTAGAACACTGTCATTGCCATGGTATTGCAAAATACTTCTTTCTGGATTCCTCTACCTTAAGATTTATCACGAAGAAAGGATGATGGAGCCTCTCATCCCATAAGCTGACATGCAACCATAGCTAGAGGGAAGCATGTACACAAACAAAATCAAATGGAAAATTTAACTTTGGTTCAAGATATTTGCCGCCTATTTCTGCCCCAACTTATGGGGGGAGGGGGTGCATGGAGGGCTGTGGAATGGGCAACAATTAGTCTTTGACTTGAATGAAATGCATTTTATCATGGGGACTCGTCTTGTAATTATTTTGCAATCGGAATTTCTGAAGCCAATGACTTCATGATTCAAGTTCTGTGGAGTTTGGTTTTAACAAATGAAAATGATATTTTATTTCTGATGCCAAACATTTAGATTCTTCTAAAGAGGCAATATCTTGTATTTATGTGCATGGTTTAGACTTTGGTGTCCAGGGAACAGCTGTTCACGATTTCCTGACATTACCCAAGGGCCCATCAGAATTACAGTTAATTCTCAATTCTATTTTCTGTCTTACACCTGTCATAAGCGTACTCTTTCTTTCTAATGTTAACTTCTACTTTGTGATCCAGGGAACTCTGATATGTTTTTCCTACCTTTTCCATTAGAAGGAATATACCTCAGCTATACCCAAACCTGTTCAATGTCAGATCCTCAAATGGAAAATGAGATGCTATTCCTCCAGCGTGTGCTGAATCTCACTGGAGCACTGCAGCAGACCTGAGATGGAAATGTTGGCAGGAAATGTGTTGAAGTGGCAGGCAGCTGGAAGCTTGGGTCATTATATGAACAATAAAAATCTAGTCCATAGACGACACTGGGCAATGTAATTGAATCATTTTTGTTTCTTAGATCTAGCTAAATTAACTCTGTCCTTGAACCCTCTGAGACATCTTTCTTCTGCAGAATTGCAATGCCCTCCTTAACTAGTACTGCTACCCCTTTTCCTTTCCTTGTTTTCCTATCTTTTTTGAATAACTTATACCCAGGAATGCTGAACACCCAATTTTGTCCTTCCTTGAGCATGATCGCCATTACTGACAAAATGTCATAATTCCACATTCAATCTGCTTCTGCAACTCCTCAGCTTTATTTACTATACTCAGTGCATTGACATGCACACCCATTAATTCTCTTTTGGCCTTCCTTTCTTTCTCCTCTACTTCGAACTCACCTGTTAACTTAGTAATAATTGTTTTTAAGTATGTAAGTTGAAGACTATTCAACAATGAAACAAAATTTAGCAATGCGAGAAGAAACTAAAACAGAAGTGAGAGAATACTAAGGACAAAGGGAGCTCAAAGTGGTTAACTTAATGAAAGAGTACAACATGCACTCCAGTGTTCTCCACGCTTAATACTTCAGTTAGGAATTATGCATTAAATAATTATTCATTGCTTAAATTAAATAAACTCTTGCTTTGGCCTTGAAATACACTAGTATAGAAGTTTGACCATAGGTATACATGTGTTCATTGCATATAGTGAGTGGCTCTCTAGACAGAACTGTTTATTTCTCCCCCTCAATTCCAGTAAATCCCGTTCAGCACTTTCCTTATCAGAATACATTAGAAACTTGTAGAAAGTGCCGACTGGAGAACTAATTATGATGCTTGCTCTATATGCTAACTCACTAGGAACATCCCTTAGTTATTTCATCAGTAAAACTGATTTTGCAAATTGGTCATCAGCAGTATTACACGATACGTTGTAACCAAGTACAGAAAGTTAGTCATATCAATTCTCTCATGCTTACTTTTTGTATACCATACACGCAACATTTTGTAAAACCACAAGCCAAGAACGATGCTCTATATTACAGGAATGATTTTCATTTATGTGTGCAACAGTTGTCTGTGGTATTACTATATTTTGTATTAATAGGAATCCCATAACTGTGTTTCGGAATACTCCATTTGTTGACTGACTCTGTCTCTGTATAGACACTGATGTGTGCCATAGGTAGTGGTTGAGTAAATCAGCAAATTTATGTGCAGAAAAGTACTGTATTAAAAATGAAAGAAAGACTTGTATTTATTTGTGCACTTTGATATTTTTGAAGTGCTCCAAAAGTCTTTGGGTGCAGTTAATTATTTTTAAATACTGTGTGCAAAAAAAATGCTGCTACTAGCAGCTGAGGTGGGATTGATGGAGAATGTGCAACTTAGTGATTAGATGCGATCTTTAATAGCCACTAGACGGGGTAGACAGGAGTATCATTTGAATGTTTCATCCAATGAAGCAAATCAGAAAATGTGGCATTCTACCGTTGTTCTATTGTAACTGAAACGTAAAAATAGTTGAACCCATAGCCTTCAATGATGAGAGTGCAATCAACCTAAGTTAACACTGCCAATCAGAGATTATTTGTTACTGAAAATCAGTAGAATAACATACATTTATATTTCCTCTCGTTACAATAGGGGTATGTAGTAAGTGTCTTAAGGTAATAGTTCTGAAGCGGGTAATGTTCCTAGCAGGTTCAAGGTCAGAGGTGGACGATGCAGAACACAAGACTTGACTTCCAAGACGCAACAAGTTTTAATCAGTACATGAATAGAAGCTCATAGCTCCTAAGTGACTCTCTGTCGTCCCCCGCATGAGACAAGAAATTGTTTGATTTGCTGAAATGTTGGAGTTGATATTTTGTCTCATTCCGTAGATGGTAAATTGTTCATACTTTTAAAATGTACTTTTTAAAAACTACCTTGCTACTCCTTATGGTCTTTTTTTTTTCTCTTAATGAATTCTTTCTTTCTCTGTTTGAAACGAGTTCACCTTAATTTATTCTCGGTCATTCCTGTTTCTTTCTCTTGTCTTAATTTTCATTACTTAAGTAGACTGTAGGTCATGCTATTCACCAAATTTTCCCTTAACAAGTTTTTAGGACAGAAAAATGTGAACTGAAGGGCAAGGTTAAAAAACACCGCTAGATGTCTTGCGCCAGTAGGAACATAACGAGCAAGGAACAAGAGCCTGCTTCTTTCAACTTCTATGCAGTTGGTTCATTCCAGGAGCTGATAGTGACCCATGCGCCCAAATGTACAAGGACAGTGACCAATGCCATCACTGCAGTCTCGCACGTCTTCACTTCCTGGTCCCATAGTGAGGTCGGTGCCAGCCCAGCAGTCAGATTCTGAAGCATTCCAGAGTTTTCCCAGAAGCAGAGTGCCATTAGCTGCACACACATGACACAGAGTGGGCTGTCTCACAGTGTGGTGGAACTCATCAACAGGAAGGGTCAGTGATCTGTGATTATTGTTACTGCTTCCTGAAGATATGTACCCACTACCCTGGCAGTTACCATGACTCTTCCATCCTGGAGCACTCTTGTATATCTGGTGGATTTGAGTGTCCGAGTGCATTACAAAGGCTAGATATGGGGTGGAGCAAGTGATACCCCCAGTGACTATGTCTCATCACACCATTGCACAATCTCCTGAGTGATTCTGACATTAAGAACTTCTGTTAAATAAAAGGGAAAAGAGAGGTCAAAGTGAACATGCGCCCCCTTAGAAAATGAATCTGGAGAGACCATAATTGGGAACAAGGAAATCTCCCGTGGAATTAAACAGATATTTTGCTTTAATGTTCATGGTTGAAGATACTTTGAACATCCCATTAATCTGAAAGAATAAGAAGGAGGAAGAACCATCAGTGGATGATCCCCAGTATGGAGGGATTGTTTCTTGAGCAGCGGCTAAACAGGGTGGAACTCTACTCATTGGCGTTTATAATAATGAGAGGAAATCTCATTGAAACATATTCTTAGAATTTTGACAGACTAGATGCTGAGAGGTTGTTTCCGCTTATCAACAAATTTCCAAAATCAACATGTGCGGTTAACCTTGTATGCCTCGCTCTGTCTAAGCACCCTATGATCTGCACGTCCTTGCTTGTTATGATCTGACTGTACTGCTGGGAAAACAAAACTTTTCACTGTATTTAAGTACATGTGACAACAATAAATAAAATAAAATCACATCCACTTTCTTGCCCTTTCCCCCGTAACCCTCAATTGCCCTACTGATCAAAAATTTATCTATCGCAGCCTTAAATATACACAAGGACTCTGCACGCACAGCTCTCTATGGCAAAGAGTTCCAAAGACAGTCAACCTTCAGATAATAAATTCCTCCTCATCTCAGTCTTAAATTGGTGTCACTTAATTATGAGACTAGCCCTTTCCACTTCACTGAACAGGTGGTAACATGTTGATACCCTTCACTCATTTAACACACTTTTGTATCCAAAAGGGTGTTTGGAAGTGTGTAGTAAGAGTCTCTGATACTTTCTGAATACGCTTAGCATTCACATCATAACTTTAAATTAATTTCTGTTTTTAATTCTTAGCTCTGATAATGTCAGAATAATACTGCTCAATTCAAATTGGTTGTACAGATTGTGCTATTGATAAGGCAAAGATCAAAAGTTGTATATCTTGAAACCTATTGTTTGAGATATCTTTTTATGCTGAAAATGGAGATCTACTGTGCTCTAACTTGAAGCGTTAGTTATTCTTAATGCAAACAACCTCTTGGACCAACAAGTTTTGTCTGGTTTAAACAAATGTGGTTAGTGTGGACCAAATCAATTTAAAATGTTCCATTGTGCAATGTTTAAGCCTTTGAAGCTTATATGGCCAATTTGTAAAAATACTTGAATTTATTATCAAAAACGTTGCTGGAATAAAAAAGCTCTTGAGATTTTATACTTTATGAACATTTCCTTCTTTATCATCATTCCAATTCTTTCACGTTGATAGGAATCGACCTGTCACTTCATATTATGAGCAAGAGAACGTGGAACACATCCTTCCCATCATAACACAGCCGTACGATTTTCGGAAAAAAAAATCAGCAATTCCAGCCTGGGAGGAACAAATTATATTCAATGAGCGATTTGGTTACTTTCTTCATGAATTCATGGATTCACCTTCTAGTCTTCTGTTCTTTGAGGTATCAGAGATTTGGGTTTTAATCTGACACACTTATTTCATCTGTGCTGTATCATCTTCAACTTTTTATATGCCAATTAGACCAAGGTGAGTAGTATAGTATATTTTATCATGTGAGTTTTTTTTTGACTGTTTTAAAATAGTTCAAATGCATACATGCTCATCAAAATGAGACCTAGATCATGAGTGTAGAAATTGCGATTGAAGATATAATATAGCCCTTGTTTTTCATTGTTTTGCTGACTTCACTGTTCTGCCATTTTTGAAATCCTTAAGCCCCAAAACCCACATTTGTGACTTTTGGAAGTGAATTTATTCTAAATCAATGTGGTTTAAAAAAAAATTAATCAGTATGATTCTCTGCCGTTTGTTTTAAGGTGACAATCTTTCTATTTCATTTTGCCTTCAGATTCAAGAAACGAAACGTAGAAAATAGGAGCAAGAGTAAGCCATTCAGCCCTTCAAGTCTGCTCCAGCATTCAGTGTGATACGGCTGATCATACAGCTCAGTATCTTGTTCCCACTTTCTACACATACCCTTTGATCCCTTTAGCCCCACTCTAACTCCTTCTTGTAAACATTTAATGTTTTGGCCTCAACCACCTTCTGTGGTAGAAAATTCCAAGGCTCACCATTGTATGGGTGAAGAGATTTCTCTTCATCTCAGTCCTGAATGGTCTACCCTGTATCCTTGAACCATGACCTCTGGCTCTGGACTCCCTGGGGATCAAGAACATCCTCCCTGCATTTACCTTGTCTGGTATTTTAGAGTTTTGAGTTTCTGGTCTTAACCAATCCAGTATCTCCTCATATGTCAGACCCACCATCCCAGGAATCAGTCTGGTAAACCTCCTTTGCACTCCCTCAGTAGCCAGAACATCTTTCCTCAGATAAGGAGACAAAAATTGCCAGGTGTGGTCTCTGTACAGCCCTGACAATTGCAACAAAACACCCTTGCTCCTGTACTCTAATACTCTTGCTTTGTAGGCCAACATATCATTTGCCTTCTTCACTGCCTTCTGCATCTGCATGCTTACTTTCAGTGACTGTGTACAAGGACGTCCAGGTCTCGCTCTGCCTTCCCCTTTCTTACTGTATTTCCATTCAGATAAACTGCTTTCCTGTTTTTGCTGCCAGTACGGATAACCACATATTTATCCATATTATATCTCACTTGCCTTGTATTTTCCCACTCACACAGTTTGTCCAAATCACCCTGAAGCAACTGTACAACCTCCTCACTGTTCTACCGAGGGACTCCAGGAATAGGCTGAAGGAAATAAATGGAAACTAATATGAATAGCACATCTCCTCTTCCAGTGGAATCCAGAAGATCTGTGGGCAGGCTAGTGGGCAGGAGAACAGCTGTGGGCTGCAAAAGCCCGAAGCTGCACTCCTGCCATCTTTTAACCATGGAATGCAATCTTAGCGACGCACTGTACCTCTTCTCTAACTGATACAGTATATTTCGTGTACACTGCACTTTGTCACGTACCTCCTGAGAACCTAGAGACAAAACTACCAAGTCATCTTTCTAGGCTTTAAAAATCAACATGAAAATAAATATTTAGGTTTTTACAATGCAAGGGACTGATATGCTTTAGAGTGAGACTAAGTTAGAAATGTTTCAGCTGAGGTTAGTTTTATCCCATTTTAAATTGGCATTCTGCATAATGAATATCATTGGCATGAAGAGCATTTACTTGATCTTCACAGTGATGTAAAAATCTTCCAATTGGAAAAGAAATCAGTATTTTGCTGTCATGAATAGAAAATGTTACTTCCACCATGTTTCCTTATTAGCTGCAACATTTTTTGTTTCCTTTAAAAGTTACACGTCACTATACTTCTATGATCCTCTGGTTATATTTTTTCTGTTCCCAGGTTATTGATTTGTGAACAGCAGTTTCTGTAATAGCTTGTTAACAATCAGCTATTCAGTATTTAAGCTGCATTTTAGAGCTACTTTGAGCTAGATATTATCTAGTGTTTGTTTTGGTTTCTTTGCAGTTCTTATCAGATATTTTAATATTTACAGATCCTTGAATTTGTAAGTATGGATGAAGCCAAAGCCAACTACGCAACTCAAAGTAGTGAAGGAGGTTGGCGAAAAATAGCTTGGGCATTTCTAAAGGTAATGTATTATAGACATAGCTATATTCTGAAGCAAAGCAGTCAGTTGCCTGCAATATTTTCAAGATCTTGGCAGATTTTTGGTTCTGATTTAGTTTGTTTAAATGCAGCAATTGCTTTTCCAGTGGTACAATTAAGCTGTGAGCTATAAAAATATTTGGAATGATGCCACTAGTAGGAAAAGGAAATTGTGTATGCTAAATAAAAGGGAGTCTCCTATTTGGCTTCTGAATTTGCCACATGAGATGCTTGCTTTCTTTGCCACTCCACAGCACCATCCGAAATGGTTTCACGCAGATGCCTGTACTCAAGATTGAGGCCATCACTGACTATCCCTGTGTACTTTCAAACTTCACATACCGTCTAAGATTCCACTACTCAGTATCTGCCCTTCTACTGCTGAAGACCCTGAGGATGCATATTCATTACCAGGACAGTTTGCTCGGGCCTGTAGAAATTGCTGGTGGTATCTTGGCAGCTGCGGTCAAGCCAAGAAGATTAGCTTCAGATTACTCTGAAAATAACCAATAAAGGATAGCATACTGTGAACTGGGTTGCTATTACAGTGCCTCTCAACTTAACAGTTGGGCATTCACATCTCAGTAATGACACTAGGGTTTCATGTACAAATGTTGTTTTTGATTTGACTTGTATTGGGGTGAATCTCTAATGACTCATTTATTCCTGTTGTTTCTCAGTTAATCTCTTCTTCCAAAAAAGTACACTTTTGAAAATCATGACTGAATGAACCCACCAGTTTCCTGTGATGTTACTGTTTGATTTGGTACTGTTTTCCCAATCAGCAGTGTCTTGAAGTTGCAGCTGTTAAAACTAGGACACTCTCTCTCTTCTGTGATGAAGCTGAAGCTGAAGCTGAAATGATGGGACAAAAACAAATTTGCTGGAAAAGCTCAGCAGGTCTGGCAGCATCTGTGAAGGAAAAAACAGAGTTAATGTTTTGGGTCTGGGGACCCTTCCTCAGAACAGAAATGATGGGGCCTGATCTTAGGCTTCAGTATATCGTTTTGTTGCCTCCCTCTCTCAGAGCTTACTGATGCTCAGTTTGGGTTCTGCCGAGACAGTTCCTGACCTCATTGCAGCATTTGTTCAAAAGTGGACGAAAGAGCTGAATTCTAGAGGTGAGGTGAGAGTGACTGCATTGACATCAAGATTGTATTTGATCGAGAATGGCATTAAGGAACCCTTTGCAAACTGGTGTCAGTGGGAATCAGGGGACATGCTCATGCCTGGTACAAAGAAAGTGGCTGTGGTTATTGGAGTTTACTCATCTCAGTTCCAGAATATCTCTGCAGGAGTTTCTCAGCTAGTGTCCTGCACCTAACCGTCTTCAACTGTTTCATCAATGACTCCTGTATCATAAGGTCAGAAATGTTCGTCGGTAATTGCATAAAGTTCAGTAACAATTGCAACTCCTCATATAGTGAAGCAATCCATGCCCAAATGCAGCAAGACTTGGATAATATCCAGGTTTGGGCTGACAACTGGAAAGTAACATTCACACACACACAAGTGGCAGGTAAAGATCATCCTGAACAAGAATGAATCAGACCATCTTCCGTTGACATTCAATGACATTACCATCATTGAATCCCCATTGTCAACATCCTGGTGGTTAATATTGACCAGAAACCAAACTGGATTAGTCATATAAATAATGTAGTTACAAGAATAGGTCAGAGGCTAGGTATTCTGCACTGAGTAACTTGCCTACTGACTCCTCAAAGCCTGTCCACCAACTACAAAGTACAAGTCAGGAGTGTGATAGAATACTAGACAACAAGGTGCAGGGCTGGATGAACACAGCAGGCCAAGCAGCATCATAGGAGCAGAGAGGCTGACGTTTCGGGCCTAGACCCTTCATCAGAAAAAGCTTCCCACTTGTCTGGATGAGTCATTTAAGAAACTTGACACCATCCAGGACTAAACAACTTGCTTAATTGGCACCAGATCCAGAAACACGCAGTGCCTCCACCATGATGCTCTGGAGCAGCAGTGTATACTATCTATAAGGTGCATTGCAGAAATTTACCCAGGCTGCTTAGAGAGCACTTAGTAAACCCATATGCATGACCATTTAGAAAGACAGCAGATAAATGGGAAGATATTAATCTACTAGTTCTCCAAGCCACTCACCCTCCTGACTTGGAAGTATATAGCTGTTTCTTCAGTATCACAGGGTCAAAATCCTAGTACTCTCTTCCCAGTGGAATTTTGGGTCTAACTACATCAAATGGACTGCAGCTGTTAAAGAAGGCAACTCATCACCACCTTCTCAAGGGCAACTAAGGATGGGCAATAAATGCTGGCCTAGCAAGCAAAGTTCACATCCCATGAATGAATAAAAAAGAAACCTGAAAATCTGAACAAGTGGATGCAAGCAAGGTTTCAACCACATTATCATAACCTGGCTATTCTCTTTTAGAAATTTGTTGTCAAAGCTTAGAAGCATTTATTGTTGTTTCCTGACTAACCTGGTGAATTATTATCCTATGTTGTGATTATATTTGTGTCTTGCTTTGTGATATCGAGGGTTATGTGGTGCACATATAATCTAGGATCTGTTCAAGTTATGTTCTCCTATGTCTGAAAGCAATTAGTGGACTACTGGGTTTAGAGCCATAGTGTTTTACAGCAAGGAAAGAGGCCTTTTGGCCCATTTGTGTCAACATTTTCCAGCACTTTTCCTGGAGACTTGTATGTTATGATACTTCAAGTGATCAAATAAGTATTTTTTAAATATTGTGATGGATCCTGCCTCTACCATCCTTTCAGGCAGAGGGTTTCAGGTACCCACCAAATTCTAGGTGAAAATCATTCTTCCTTAAATCCACTCTAAACCCTTTACCTGAAGTTTGTGCTTCCCAGTTATTAATCCATCTATGAAGAGAAAGTGTTTCTTCCTATGTACCCTGTCTATGCACCTATAATTTTGACCACCTCAATCAGATCCTTCTCTGCTCTATGCAAAACAGTCTGAGTCTATCTAGTCTCTCTTCACAGTTGAAATGCTCCAGTTCAGGCAACATCATGGTGAAACTCTTCTGCACCCTTTCTCGTGCAATCACGTCCTTTCTTTTGTGTGACAGGCAGAATTGGGCACGGTACTCAAGCTGTGGCCTAAATAACATCTTATGCGGCTGCACTCTGTTTTTGTATTCAATGCTTCGACTAATAAATGCAGATATTCCAGATGCTGCCTTAACCACTTTATCCACCCATACTGTTGCCTTGAAGGATCTATAGATATGCACGTCAAGGTCCCTCTAATCCTCTGCAGTTCCTAAGGTCTCATTATTCATCGCCTATTTCTTTGCCAATTTGGTCCTTACAAATTGCATCACCTCATACTTTTAAGGATTAAATTCCATTTGCTGTTGTTCTTCCACCTGACCCGTCTGTCCATATCCTGTGTAGCCTAAGGCTTTCCTCCTCACTATTTACCATTCTGTCAATTTCTGTGTCATCTGCAAACTTGCTGATCAAACCTCGATATTCGTGGTAAGGCCATTAATTTACACACAACAAGAACTCCAGCACTGAACTTTGCGGTATGCCATTCGACGTAGACACACGAGTCCAAAAATAACCATCGCCCTATGCCTCCTGCCACTAAACCAATTTTGCATCAGATTTGCCAAATTTCCCTGGATTCCATGAGTTTTTACTTTATTGATCATTTTTTCATGCAGGACCTTATCAAAATCCTTACTGAAGTCCATGTAGACTACATCCACACATCTTACTTCTTTGAAACACTCAGTAAAGCCTGTCAGATCTCCTGACTAAGCCGTACTGATTACCCTGATTAATCCTTGCCTCTCCTAGTGGAAATTAGTTCTATCCCTCAGAATCCTTGCCAGCAGTTTCCTTCAATTGATGTTGGACTCACTGGCCTATATTTTCCAGTTTCATCTTTACCGTGCTTCTTGACTAAAGTTACCAGAGTAACTATCCTCTAGTCCTCTGGCAGCTCTCCTATATCCAAAGAGGATTTAAAAATTAATATCAAGGTTCCTGCAAACTCCGTTTTGCCTCCCATAATGGCCTGGTGCCTTATCCAATTTTAAGCCTGCTAATACCAGTTCTCTCTCAATTGTAACTTGTTGAAGTATATTATTGCCCTCTTCCTTGATTTCTGTACCTGTGTCATTCTTCTCTAACACGAGTACAGATGTAAAGTACTCGTTTAAAATCTCACCTACATCTTCTGACTCCACCCGTGGTTTGCCACCAAACTTTCATTGGTTATGACTTTCTCCTGATATACTGTACGTATAAAATGCCTTTGGGTTTTCCTTTTATTTTACCTGCGAGTGTTTCTTTCGTGGCCCCTTCTTTACTTTCCTAATTTCTATTTTAAGTAATTCCCTGCACTTTCTATATGCCCCTAGGGCTTTTGATATTCTGAGCCTTCGACATCTACCATAAACTTCCTTTTTCTCCCCTTAATTAATTCTGTACATCCACAATATTCTGGGTTCTCTGGGATTTTTGGTTCCACACTTCACATTTTACAGGAACCTGTTAGCCCTGCATTTTCACAGCTTTCTTTTTGAAAGACTCTCACTACTTTGATGTAGATTTTCCTACAGGCAGCTGCTCCAAATTCACTGTGGTCAGATTCTGATTAACCAAATTAAAATTATTATTCCCCTAATTCAAAAATTTTATTTCTACCACCTGTCCAGCTTTGTTCTCTAACATTAGCTACTCAGACATGAACATATACAGATTGGCCTGAAATTCATAAAGCTGGAAATAAACAGTCTGTGTTTTATCTGGGGGAATTCCACTACATTTGCTTGACCTTTTAATTCTTAGTATGAGGCCAAAGCTGTTCTTATACTCATTCCACTTCTCCTTTCAACCCTTGTTTCCCATATTAAGAGTTCATGTTGCAAAATTGAAGAATTCCTGACCTTCACTGGGAAATCATGTCAGCTCAGAACTGGTATTCTATTTGCGATCTTCATAAAAGCTCTAAACCTTGCCCAAATTGCAATAATTCATCCAAGAGAGGATTGATTACCTTATCCTGAGGCTAAGTTACACTTTTATCAAGACAGAAATTAAAGAATGCCATTTTTCTTCTTTCCTGCAGTGGATTGCGTCTCTGACCTAGAGGAAGTGGAGTGGGCCCTGAAGAATTTGGGCAGATTGTCTTTGTGTATTCTTATATGTTGGTGATTGTTCCTATTTTATGCTTCAGTTAGTATGTCCCACATACGAACATAGACATCTCTGTTGTTGTTTCATAGCTGGTGGGTGCTAATGGAGTGTTGAATATTGATCGAAAACTGCGCCTGCAGTTATATTATCCACCTGTAAAAGTCAAGAAGCTGTCCAATTCCATCGATGTGTTTGAATGGTGGAAGAAACGCCCTTGGAGTCAATACCCTTCAACTTTATACGTTACAGTGAAAGGTTTAAGGCTACCTCAAAATGTGAGTGTAATTTAAGATCCTTTAAAAGGCTATACACAGGCTGTACATTTCCTGGATATATGAATTGCTTTTAACATTTTGATTGGTGGATATATATTTTGTGCATTGCTTTTTTTTTCACTTTCTAAAGCATTTTTAAACGTGGTCTGTAAAAACCTTTCATGGCCATTTTTTCTTGTAGCCTGATCTGGAACATTACTTCAATAAGAAGCTTGATGATGTTACTTTATCAGTAATTCCAGGATGCTGATTGGGTTAACAGGATCTTAATAGCAGCTGTAGTATATTTTTGTAAAAATCTCATTATCTTTTCTGTTAAAGATATTTGATATGGTGCCACACAACTGACTTGTGGGGAAAATTACAGGTCGTGGAATAAGAGTTGGAACAATGTGGTTACAAAATTAGTTGAGTGATAGAAAACAGCGAGTAATGGTCGATGGATATTGATTGGGATGAAGGAACGTTCTTAGTGGAGTTTCTGAGGGTTTCGTATAATGATAAATATTAGAGATCTTGGTGTGCAGGGCCAGTTTCAAAGTTGTCAGATAACACAAAACTTGGAAGAATTGTAAACCGTGAGCAGGACAGTTTGGAACTCCAGAAGGACATGAACAGGTTGGTGGAGTGGTCAGATAGGTGGCAGATGAGTTTCAATGTAGAGAGATGTGAGGTGATGCATTTTGCTAGGAAAGACATTGAAAGACAATATAAAATAAGGGATACAGTTTTAAGGGGGGTGCAGGACCAGGCAGACTTGGCTGTAAATGTACATAGATCATTGAAAGTGGCAGAACAGGCAGAGAGAGCAGTAAGTGAAACATGCAGTATGCTCAGCTCCATTAAGAAGGACAAAGGCCGGTGTGAACTTGTAAAAGAAACTTGTTAGACCTCAGCTGTCGTATTGTGTACAGTCTGGGGTACCACATTTTAGGTAGAAGTGAACGCATTAGAGAGAGTGCAGAAGTCATTTATAAGAATGCTTCCAGAGATATGGAACTTCATTTATGAGAATATATTGAAGAAGTATGGACTATTCTCCTTGGAGAAAAGAAGTCTAAGATGGAATGTGATGGAAGTTTTCATTGTTGTAAGTGGACTAGATAGAGTAGATAAGGAGAAACAATTTTCACTCATAAAAGGAACAAGAGCAAGAGAGCATAGATTTAAAGTGATCTGCAAAAGAAGCAAGGGTGAAGTGAGGGAAAATGTTTTTACTCAGTGAATAGTTAGAGTATGTACTGCACTGCGGGGCCTGTGGTGGAGGCAAGTTCAATTGAGGCATTCAGTGGAGCATTGGATGATTGTTTGGATAAAAATAAAATACCAGGCATGAGGAAAAAGCAGGCAATTGGCATTAGGTAAAGAATCTCATTTGATGAGCTAGTGGAGCATTAATGGCCAAATAATCTCCTTGTCCACTGCAACAGTTTTGTGATTTTGTGAACTATGCATAAATGAAACATAAAAGGCAGATGAAACAACTCCTGTTCAATAGATTTTCTAAGTTTCAACTGCGATTAGACTTTAAAAATACTCTATTGACTAAAGGATGTCCTAAAACAAAGAAAAGCACCATGTGAAAATTCAAGTTCTTCTTTGAGTAGTTGTGCCTTTTCAAATAGGTAAATCCTTCTGTACGTTCTATGATGGCTATTCAACGAGAGCAAGGCACTATTTCATATAGTGATCTTCAAACGGAGTTGGTACAAGGAGCTGTTTCATCAACTCTAGAATACCAGAAGTTGGATCTTTTGAAGTGGACTAGACTACCTGGACAGGTAAAGGAATGCACTTAACTTGCATGTGACTGCAACAGAAATTGAAACAATCATGGAAGGTGTAAAATGGTTTATCGCCCATTTTGTACTATCACTAGGAGATCATTTATCTCAGTTGGCTGGATGGCCAATTTGCATTGCAGAGTGACACCAACAGAGTGGGTTCAATTCCTGCACTGGCTGAGGCTACTGTGGAGGACTCTCCTTCTCAACATCTCCCGTCACCTCACGTGTGCTGACCCTCAGGTTGAACCACCATCAGTTGTCTCTCTCTTGAGAGAGAAGTGCTCTGTGGGCTTGTAAGACATTGGCAACTTTACCTTTTTACAGTCACCCAAAATAAAACGCCTACTTCATTTTTATAAATTTTATTCATTTTTGTGCTATCTTTTCCTTCTAAAGTATCCTTGTGAATGCTGCTTCCATGTTACCTTGCTTCTGAAATGACAATGCTGACGTGTAAAATTTACAATCCTTTAGGTTTGTCGTATTCCAAACAAGCTCTTGCTGTCATTTCGAGGGGGACAGACAGGATGCTACTTCATACAATTTTCTCATGATGGGAGAAGTTTGGCAGCATCATGTGCTGACCGAAGTGGTCATTTTATTGTAGGTGAGAATTATCAAAAGTGAAGGAAAAATAAGGAGAAATTAGAGTTTTCATTGTAGCTGTTCTGTATGAGGTATGGTCATGTACTATATTCTACATTTGAATGTCAACACTCTTTTGCCAGCGATCCAGGTGTGAATATCAATCAACAATTAGAAAAGATGTAACATTGTTCTTCAATTATTTCACCTCTATTACAATTTAATCTAAAGTTTCAGGCATTTAAGAATGGCATTATATAGTCTAAAGCTTTTAAATCTTATTTTGTATGTTTACATCCACCTTCTGATGGCATGAATAATTTTGCTAAGCCTCAGAATTCTCCAGTGTCTTAAGCAATCATGTTGTATATACCATGGTCATGAAACCACCACCTATGCTGTAGCTGCTGAGAAAAGGAAGGCTCTCCAAGGTAGACACCAGCAACATTCCTGCTCCAGTCCTCCATTATGCTTTTTGTCTTGCACTTATTTGCAAGAGTGTCAATGTAACAACTTTATACGATGAGAAGAGAGTGCTGGTTTGTGGATAAGTGGAATGTGATTGGTAGAAGTGCTGCAATAGAGAATGCAACATGAGAATGACGACCGATAATTTATTGCCAAGCCTTCTTTAAATTTAAATCAGGCAGCTTGACTCTGATTGGGCAAGGCGTTTTGCTGTCAAGTGAACCAGAGAAAAGCTTTTCCTTGTTTTGTTCCATTCAAACAGGTGCAGTGTGTGTACAAAAACAGAAGCTGCTGGAAAAGCTCAGCAGGTCTGGCAACATCTGTGAAGAGACAATCCGAATTAATGTTTTGGGTTTGGTGACCCTTCCTCGGGTTTTCTGGCATGATTATCTTATAAATAAAGGCTGAACAGATTGGTACTCTACTCATTGATGTTTAGATGAATGAGAGATAATCTCATTGCAACATATAAGATTCTTAAGGGACTTGACAGGGTAAATACTTACAGGGTGTTTCCCCTCATAGAAGAGTGTAAGATCGGAGGGCGTATTCTCAGAATAAACGAGCACCAATATAAGACTGAGATAAGGAGGAATTTTCTCTCTGTGAGTTGAGAGTTTTTGGATCACCTGTAGTGACAGAGTGTATAACTTAAGCTGATATAGATAGATTCTTGATCAGTAGGGGAATCAAGGGTTATGGGGAAAGGGCAGGAAAGAGGACATGAGGAATGTTGGAACAGCCATGATCCTATTGAATGGCTGAGCAGACTCAATGGGCCGAAGGGCCTACTCCTGTTCCTATTTCATATGTTTTTTTTCTGTTTGCAAAGAACAGAGCACTAAGTATTAATAAACATGGATTCCAATACGTACAAATGCACCACACTATGAGCCTGACTCACAATCTTAAATTAGTTGTCAGTGTAATTCTTAGCAGGTTTGGGACAATATTTACTTCAAAGGAACGTAATTCCATATAGGCATGTGTTAATATTTCATGTATTTTTATGCATTAAGTATTCACGTGTCCTCAAACTAAAGCAGCTTTTGTTCATGTGTAACAAAACCTGGACAACATCTAGGTTTGACCTGATGTGTGGCAAGGAACTTGTGCCAAATACATATCAGGCAATCACCATCTAAAACAAAAGAGGGTATAGCCATTGGCCTTTGACATTAAATGGCATTATCATCACTGAATCTCCTAATATCAAAATGCTGGAGGTAATTGTTGGCCAGAACGTGAACTGGACAACCCACATAAATATTGTGGCTACAGAACTGGTCAGAGGTGAGGAATCCTGCAGTGAGTAACTCATCTCCCCAGTGCCCTATATACCATATAAATGGCACAAGTCAGAATGCGTATAACTCCAACAACCCCTTTGAAACTTAATACCATCTAGGAAAAGTCAACGTGCTTAATTTGTACCCCATCCATGACTTTCAACATTCACACCCTTCACCAGCAACAACAGTGGCAACAGTATGTACCATCTACAACATACATTGCAGTAACTCATTAAAGATGTTCTGACAGCACATTTCAAGCCTGCAACCTCAATATAAGGAGGACAAGGGCAGCAGTTACATGGAACCATCACTGCTTGCCCATTATCCTCCAAGCGACACACCATTGTTTCACTATGACTGTGTTAAAATGCAGGACCTCCATCCCAAACAGCACATTGGTGTACCTACATCCCAACGACTACAGCTCAAGTTGAAGAAGGCAGCTCATCACCACCTTCACATGGTTCCCCTTGCACATTCCCTACTTGTGTAGGGCTTCTGCTATTTTGAACCCTCAGTAGCTGCCATAAGCTCTTTCACTTTATCCATCCTGTTTGTGCCTTTGATATACAAGGTTCACAGGATTTATTTGTCCTACCCTTTGTCATTTTTTTATTGAAACATTTTGGCCCTCTGCTGCTACTATTTCCTTCTTGAATGTCTCTTGCTGGACTTTTAAAGATTTACTTATAAGTATCTCCTCCCTGTCGACTCTGGCCAAATCAGATCTGATCTTATTAATTCGGCCTTCCCCCATTTTCAGGGTTTGATTTCAGGCCCATCCTTGTCCTTTTCCATAACAAACTAGAATCTAACAGTTGTGATTACTGACAACAAGATGCACTCCCATTGATACTTCAACCGCTTGCCCGGCTTCATTATCTAAAATTAAATCCAGGGCCGCCTCCTGTCTTGTAGGTCCTTCTACATACTGGTTTAAAAAGCTCTACTGGATGCATTTTAAGAATTCCACTCCCTCTAAACCTTTCATGTTATGACTATCCCAGCTAGAGAAGTTGAAATCCCTCTGACACTACCCTATTACTTTTATACTTCTCTGAAATTTGGCTACATGAACTGTTCCTCTATTTCTCTCGGAGTGTTGGGGGAGTGTAACATACTCCCAGCAATGTAATTGCTCTTTTGTTTTTGAGTTCGACCTATACGGCTTCACTAGAGGAGCCTTCTAAGATGTCACTCCCCCTTACTGCTGTAATAGACTCCCTCATCAATATTGTGATATCACCTCCTTTCCTCTCGCCTGAAGACCTTTTATCCTGTATTATTGAGCTGCCAATCCTGCCTCTCTCTCACCTATGTCTCAGTGATAGCAATTGCATCATATCCCCATATTTTAATTTGTGTCCTCATGCCAGCTGCCTTGTTCGTTAGACTCCTTGTATTAAAATGAATAACATCCAACTTTTCCAAACTCCCCTGTGCCTTAACTGACTTACAACATCTATGCCTTCTTGATTCCCTTCTCTTCTAATTTTAGCTATTAATCTCTCCATGCTGAACTTCGTCTCAGGAACTCCAATCTCTACCCTCCAAGTTAGTCTAAACCCTCCCTGGCTTTTCCGGAGAAACATTATCTCCAGTTACCCTTTTATTTACCAGCATCGCATTCGTTATTTGCAGACATATGATGTTTGTCTTTCTTCTCGAAACTAACTTAAGTGGCTCCTTATTACTATCTTTGGCACTGGAATTCATTATAGGTACAGCGGCCTGCAGCTACAGACTACCAGAGTCATTAGGATATTGGAAAGAAGCTGGCTGCACTAGTCTTAATTGTTTAGAAACAGAAAATAGGTGCAGGAGTAGGCCATTCAGCCCCCCGAACCTGCACCACCATTCAATATGATCATGGTTGATCAAGCAATTTCAGTAT